GGGGGGGGGGCGCAGCGCCCCCCCCAGCAGCACACCAGATCCAAAGGTTAGAAAGCAAACAAATGGAAAAGCAAAAACAAAAAGAGAAAGGAGAACAGCTGCCAAAGCAGAAAAGCAACAAAAGCAAAGAGCAGAAAAACAAAAACACAAAAAGCAGAAAAGCAACAAAAACACAAAAAGCAGCAGAAGCAGAAAAGGCAGCAAAAGCAGAAAAGCAGCAAAAACAAAAAAGCGGCAGAAGCAGAAGCAGAAAAGCAACAAAAGCAGAATCCGAAAATAGAAATGAAAAAAACAAAAAAATGAAAAAAAACACAAACAAACAAACACCCATCCAAAGCAAATTTGCCAAATCTTGCACTGCAGTTGGAAAGCATAATTGGCTGGAAAACGCTTCTTGCCACCCCAAATTAAGAACAAATGCAAAGCTTCGGTGAAACTTTGCTTGGCATTTCGCCAACTCAGATCCCTGACTCTCCTCATTTCCACCAAAAGAAGACAGACCTGTTATCTCTGGGCAAGCTTCGACCACCTCTCGCCAAAGTTCCAGAGCTTGTTGCCACTGGGCGGCTGCCTCGCATGCGAAGATAACAGCACTGTAAAAGATCAGGTTGGGCCTGCCGAGGCAGCCGGTCGACTTCGAAGTACGGCACTTGTTACTACTAGCTTCTTGTTACTACTAGTAAGGCACTTGTTACGAGAAGCGATGCACTTGTTACTACTAGTAAGGCACTTGTTGGGCCTGCCGAGGCAGGTCGGCTTCGAACCGATCTGATCGTGAACCGCTTGGAGTCTATCGCTGGAGGCCAAACTGAGTCGCAGAAGTCTCTGGAGTCTCTGGGGTCGTGGTCAGGTCGGCACCACCACTTTAGTGTCTGCCTCTCGTGCTAGTTCGAAGTCAAACTGGCCAAAAATCAGGTACCGAAAAAAACGTGGTTGCTAGCGATGGCCTCCACCCTAGTAGCGATGGCCTCCCAAAAAACATGGTTGCCACTCTTTCAACACGCCTCTGCTTTCGGCTGAAGTCTGCAAGGAGCTGAACTGCTTCTCGCCACTTCCCTGCTTTAGCGCAAGAGCTCGCCGCAGAACTGTAGGTTATGACATTGCCTCGCAGCGTCCTGTGAATTTCAAGGGTGAACGAGAATTCAACCAGAGCACATCAACAAATAGTATAGTAAGAATACTCCTAGTAGCGATGCCGCCCCTCGTAGCGTCCTTGCTCCTATCCGCCTATCCAAAAAGTCCAACACAATCTGGCCATCAAAACAAAACTTCTAAATCTTCGTGCTGGGGTCTTGGACTTCATCTCGTATAGCAAATGCCTGGAGCACAAGAGGATAAAACATGGCTCCTTTTGAACAAGCACCTACACAGCAGCGCAAATAGGACGGTTGTCCAACCGAACTACGACAGTTCAGCAAGCTGCAGGGTTGAAAAGGACCAATCACAGCATATCACACTCAATTTCTACAAAGATAGAAAGGCTGATCAACCTTAAAGAGCCAACACATCGCTAGTAGGTTGGAGGCCATTGCAAGTAGATTGGAGGCCATTGCAAGCAGGTTGGAGGCCATTGCTAGTAGTATGTTCTGTCCATTGCTAGTATCAACTTTGCAAAGTTGCAGCGCCACATCCCACTGGCTCTCGGCTGCCGACTCGCAAGCCCCTATCGCTGCCCCGTAAACGTTCACGCTGCACAAGTGCAATGTCTTTGCTTCGGCAAGCAGCTGTAAAGCCTCGCACAAAGTGGGCAAAGGAAAAGAGCGGAGACAAAAACCAAAATAAACATACGTAATACAAGAGCATACGTGCGTTTCTCTGATTTTTTTGAGAGGCCTCGAATTAGAGCCGGAATCAGCGACCCCCAGGATTACAAGATTCATCTCCGCAGCACAGAACCCCCGTTTAGAGGAGCCTTGATGTTCCATTTGCCATGTCATGTTTCTTCTATGTTCTCTTCTTCAGAGAAAGACACTTCTTCAGGAATCTTCCTTTGCCAGTCCCAAAGTGAAGAGTTTGCGTTGTGGCCATCTACACTCTCCGGTTCCACAAACCACCAATCTCTACCACCTGTCTTTCTTCTCTTTTTCTTTAGACCTTTCGATTTTTGCTTGCACATGTTCCCCGCCTCCTGAAGCTTTCCGGCCTTCTTGCAGGCAGAGATGGCAGCCCCGAACAAAATCGTATCTTTTTGGAAGCGCTGCTGCTCCACATCCTGACAAAGTGAGCTTCTGGATCTGAAGGACCATTGAGATCGTTGTAAGTGCCTCTAGTACCGATGGCCTCCACCTAGTAGTTTCTAGCTACTAGTAGTGGTCATGCCCTTGTTACTAGTGGCGATGCCAGGAGCTACTAGTAGCGTCTTGCCATATTAAGTTGTAAGCGCCTCACATGTGTTCTTTGGGTGATTCAAGCAACATGTGGCGAACTGCCTCTGATTGGTCACCGGGGATTGTGGCAATCAGCATCTATATGTCCCTCGACGCCTGCAAAATCGCAAGGTCTTCGGTAGAACAAAGGAGAAACCGAACCTCGCACTCCTTGTTCGAACAGTGTTCGGTCCGGTCCAGATGTAACGGAGACAGATGTCCTCGATCAAAAGCAGTGCCTGTCGCCATGCAGCACCCTTCCGCTTTGACATCTCCGATTTCTCGCAGGCGCTAATTCCTGCGTTGTACGTCACCAACGACACTTCCAGGTGCCTCGCAAGAGAGGCGACCCCAACGACCTTCGGTCTACAACGACCTTCGACCCGCCAAGAGCACCCTTTGACCGACCCAGAGTAAGAACCCTCTTGACGGGTAAACCTGCTTGGAGGACGTTACTAGTAGCCAGTAGTGATGCCCTTGTTGCTAGCTTCCAACTACTAGTAGGGAAGAATCAAGGGCGCTGACATTAACGGGTCTAAGCTGCAAAAGCAAGAGCTTCACATCTTGTCACGAAACCAACCATGATGCGAAGAGGACCTGTCGAACAAACTCAGGCCTGGCATGGCACAGATGAATGAACTGCAAGGCTCTTTGCCATTGCGATGACTTCTCACAAGCAGACGTCACTGCGCTGTGCGTCACGGTGTCCGTCAGGGCGTCCATCGGGTCGGGACGGAGCTCACGATGAGAGGCTTCTCTCGCATTCGCAAAGAGCTCGAAGGCTTCTCTCCAGCGGGCAGCCTTCTCACAGGCGCTGATGCTGCTGCTGTACCTACACTGATGTACACTAGGTAGGAGGCATAAATGCGGCATAAAGAGCTTTATCTTCAAACAAAAGAGGCGGACAAGATCACCTCAAAGCCTGTTGATAGCACCGCTTTGAATGCTGCCCGCTTTAGCTTTTACTTTCTCAAACTGGTGCTGCCAGCTGCTTCAAATGCAAGGAGTCTACATAGGTTGAATCAAACAGGGTCCCCAAACAGGGTCTCGAAAGAACGGGGAGGGCTGTGAGGAGCTCAAAATGGAGAAATTCAGTCAAGAGACGGTTGGAGGCCATTGCTGGGTAGAAAAAACAGCGCCAAGAGACGTGAAGGTGTTTGCATCGCCTCGCTACTAGTAACAAGTGCCTTACTAGTAGTAACAAGAAGCTACTAGTGACTACTAGTAGTTACTAGTGACTACTAGTAGCTTCTAGTTTCCATTAGTAAGGCACTTGTTACTAGTAGCGATGCAAACACCAGGGGCGGCCAAGAGACGTGAAGGTGTTTGCATGCAACCATTGACACCTTGTGTCCTTGAGCAGAACGAGGGCTTGTCTCCATTCATTGCATGCTTCGCAAGCGCTGATGGCCGAGCAATACCTGGAAGGTACGTTCGCATCTTTTCTGATGCAAGGCCCAAAGCCCCTTTTAGTTTTCGTTTGTTCTACTAAGTTACTAATGGCAAAAGGAATCTAAGAGCGATGGCCTCCAACCTAAGTGGAACAGCATGGACACCCAAGTGTTCCATTTGGACCAAAAGGTAGACCACTGAAGACTTGAAGACCTCCAAGGAGGAGTTATTTACCGACTACAGTGACTACAGCTAAGGCAGCTCGCTAGGACTTCCTGCCATGGGTTCCTCTTCAGCCCAAGATGTTTACAGAGTTCTTCAGAGTGCTTCCGAAGCACAGGATCATGTTCAGCTTCAATAGTTCTCTTTGGGCTTCCAGCAAAAGACTGACCGCCTTCTTCCATTGCCGCCTTGGTTCCGGACACTGCGATTTTGCACCCTTGTGCCTGAAAACTCTTCTTGATTTGAGATCAAAAGTTGTGGGTGGAAAGGACAAGGAAAAGGAGGGGTCCCTGTAAGGAGTCTGTCATTTGTGAATCAAGAGCCAACTTCTATCTCAATCTCTGGGAGGGAAGAGTGGATCTTTCACATCAGGATGTTTTGAGCCCCTAGTAGCGATGCCAGGAGCCTCTAGTAGCGTCCTTGCTCCTACTAGCTTCAAAAACATACTAGAAAGCTTCTTGTTACTACAGGTGAACCGATTCCCAGTGAAAGGATTCCCAAGGCTTCTTGCTCCGTTCGTAGCGATGCCCTTGGCTCCGTTCGTGGCGATTTAGCCAAGAGGCAACTTTCGACATTCACGGATCCTTTTGCCAAGGAGAATTGAGGCTTTCACCGAAGGAGGGCAGTCGCCAGCAGACGGCCGCTTTGCCGCCACTTCGACTGTGGAAACTCCCATGCCAACCTTCGCTCCGAAGATGGGTGTTTCCGCCCGTTCGGATAGCACGAGGACAACTTGAAAGCGACATCAGCCATCTCGCATCTGCAGCATGGTTCCATGGCGCAGCAGGCCATTGCTACTAGTAACAGGTGCCACGCTAGTAGTAACAAGAAGCTACTAGGAACAAGTGCCACGCTACTAGTAACAGGTGCCTTACTAGTAGTGCTAGTAGGTTGGAGGCCATCGCTAGTAGGTTGCTCAGAATGAGTTGCTGCCAAACTTTGGCCGCGTCTGGCTGGGAACACTGTCATCAGAAGACAGGTCGTCACTGTGCATGTTGCTTCGCTTAAGATTGACAAAGAGCCTCTGTGGACTGTTCAACGGCCACATGCGGACTGCAAATGCAAGAGGTTGTATTCTTGTCTTGTTATTGTTCTTTTCTTCGGAAGGTGTTCATTCTTTCATGACTCCTTTCCCTACAAAGTGAGCACAACTGTTTAGAATTCCGTGTCAAAACGCCAGCTGATCAAACGGCAGATTCAGGCTCAAGGCAAAACAATCAAAGTCAAACGGATGTGTTGTGTTTTCCAGGTTAGTCTTCTCAGTGGCTCAGGGCCCCAGCGGATGAGCCATGACCGGCACCATCTCATCCTTGTCACCTGCCGCAGGAAGGCAACGACCTTGAACAACCTGTTGGCAGAATATCTAAAACCAAGAACCTGAATGTGTAAATAAAATGGTTAGACTAGGAGCAAAGGGCATCGCTACTAGGGTTGGAGCCCATCGCTCTTAGGTTGGAGAACTGATTCCAGTCACCCGATCCTGCATAGCACGCTGCGCCCTCGCCCAGTGTGTCTGCTCTCTTCTTCTTCACTGAACCGGTTCGTGTTCCTCACCCCTTCGTATGGGTTCTGCACTCTTAATGCATGTTTTAAAAAAGCCCCTACTAGCTTCTTGTTACTAGTAGCGAGGCACTTGTTACTAGAAGCGATGCACTTGTTCCTAATAGCTTCTTGTTACTAGTAGCGAGGCACTTGTTACTAGAAGCGATGCACTTGTTCCTAATAGCTTCTTGTTACTAGTAGGCACTTGTTACTAGAAGCGATGCACTTGTTCTAATAGCTTCTTGT